AGCACTAAGATAGGCTGCTTACCATGGTCTTTTGCCACATCGCTTACATTGCAAATGATCCCAGTACCTTCACCCCTTGGACAATGTGCCTGATAGTCACCATCTGCACAAAACCTGCCAGCTGCATGCAAGAAGTTAACTGACAGAGACAATTGTTGTCTTACAGTCGATTTTTAGACCACCCGCCCTGTATTAGTCTCTGACCCATTAGTCGAGAGAGTGTCTCGGAAAACTGAGGCCGGATGGAATGATATCTGTAAAGCTTTTTTGGGGGGCATCTCGGCCTGACTGGGACCTGATGGAATGATATTAGCTGTCTCCCCTGGGAGGACATGTAATTATGTCTTGGGGCAATGTGGTGGAGTACGAAGGCATAGCATTTGCTGGAGTACATTGGGAAAAGGTCATTGGAAAAGGCCTTAAGGCGCACCAGTATACACGGTTAATGACTCACAGCACAGCAGTTTACTTCCTTGAAAAGAATCAATAAAAACCATGCGTTGACCCGATTCGGTGGCTCAGTCTATCTCTGAAGGCTGAGTCCCTTGGTCTCGCTCTTAAATCTTACTTCTGTCTCTTGTTCTTATTCAAATCTACGCCGCCCCTCTCGTGTCCCATTTGCCCTTGCCACACAGGACGTGACAGACAATGCCACTGCGCTTGTTATAATTAGGTGAAAGAAACTCAGGATATGTTGGGGACCTCAAGAAGACGGGCATTCGCCCCAAACTATAGGTATCACAGGCATTCTCTGATTGCTAAGTCCTTGGCTTTTCTGGCCTTCAGAGGCCTTTTGGGGTTTTTTTGTTTGTTTTGTAGCTGAGCCATCCTGCCACTTGTTGGTAGCTCAGCGGCAACTCAGCTCAGGCCGGGAATAGAACTGCTAATTGCTCAGAGCTTGCACTCTTGAGCAAGCTCTTAACCAACTGAGCCACTCGGCCGACCCCTTAAGAGGCCTTTTTAAGCTCCATCTGAAGATTACTTACGAAAAAAATTCCAGCAAAGCAGATTTAAAAATGCCTATGTGGTTAATTACTATGCTTGCTGGATTTACACAAATAATCAGGACCAGTTTATTAAAACTAGACTTACTTTGCAAATAAGTTAGTCTTAATTCTGCTACCTTTGGTAAAAATGGGGGTGATTTTTAGAGGAAAAAATGTTTCAATAGAAACTTGAATATACCCGTGTGGATATTAGAGTCTAGTGCTGTTCATTGTCTTTTGGGTTTTGTTTTGTTTTCTACTTGTAAACTGGACTGGATCCTGAATTTTCCTAGTTTCCTCCATTATCTGCCTGTGACTCTCTAAACATGTTTTCCAAATTTTCTCCCATCCTTTGACACGGAATCACTGAGAACTAAAACTGCCCTTTTCCTGAGTCTTGCAATTCCAAGCTGCATGTAGACATGCTCCCCAATGATTATCACGATGATCATCATCACCGTTTGGGTCCTGAGGGACATGATAACAAAAGTTACTCTTTATTCTTTATCTCATATTAGGGTACAGGTATCCTGGCCTGCTGTTACCCCTACCTGTGGTTGCTATGGTCTCGTCTTGTAAATTGAACACCCAGAATGCCCCCTCTAAGGCTCAGGGACCACTGTAGAAGAGGTGGGCACACGAGATTGTAAGAGCCAGATAAAGGGCACAATAGGTGAACAAATCTGACTCTTATCTTGACGCTGATCCTCCATCTTAATTGAACCTGGACCCAGCTGCCCTACATCCCTTAAGATTGAGGAATGAACAACAAAAAGGGGGAATCTGTAGCCACAGAACCAACTCAAAATGGTCCTATCCTGTTTAATGAGATACTGAGTTGCTTTTCAGAGACAACAGATCAAAACTCAAGTTCTACAAGTGAAGTATGCCCAAAGGAGAGAACTTTGACCTCCAGCTGCACCCAGAACCAAAGTCCCCAACCCCCATGGAACCAAAGGACTAGGCAGAACATAATCGGAATTTGAACACTGGAACACTTTGGCTCTGCTAGCGCCAGGTGGACGAACTCTTCTGTTCTATAACACACTGGAAAACCATGATGACTGAATTGAAACCTCTGTCCTAATCCTAAACTTGCTGACAGCCAAAGCAGAGAGGAAAACACAACTAGACATGTAGCTCTTAGAAAAGACACTCAAAAAAAAAAAATTTTCCTGGCTGCGCTTTTAGAAAAATTTGCAACCAGGTTTTTTGTTTGATTCTAGTAGGGAAGAAAATTAGGAGTGAAGGGAAATAAATTTAGAAAACAAACCAGTTTTTCAAATATCTGAAATAAAAGTTTAACTTTACAATTATATATCAAGTTAATTTTTTCAGCTAACATATTTCATGATTAACTTAGAGGAATCTGCTTATTTAAAAGTTTCATTTTCAAAGGGGTATAGAACTTCATTACTAGTGCTACAAAGCCTTCTTTGCTTTGAATTTTTCAAATGAAAATATACTGAGCTGCTGGCAAGACTCATAGCCAGAATCTACTCATGGATTCCTTCCAAAATAACCATCTTATCAGGCCTACTCACTCTTACCTCCATGCTTTTGGGCTTAAGAAAGAAAAGTCTATAAAGTAGGTAAGTAAAACAAATGCAGATTTATTTAAGTAGTTGTAAAAACTTTAAAAGCTTTTACATATGAATACTCTTTAGGAAAAAGGTTGCAGAGAAAACCTTTTGTTGTTAACAGAAAAAAATGCATTTGAAATATCCAAAAACTATTAACAAAGCTAATTAGTTTTTTGTGGTAAATTTTAACCATTTTAAGTTTACAGTCACATTGTTGTGCAACCATTACCAAGCTAATTCTTTTTCAATATATTCATATGCTACATCTCATTATCAGCATTAACAACTCCATATTGTTTTCCTAAATATCAATTGTAACTGCAATTTTTTTTCTTACCTAAGGAAAAAAGCATGTTGACTAAATAAGAGACGCAATTCACAGTATTACTTACCATAATAGATTTTCCAACCTAAGATTTCCATGACATCAGCAAACTATTTCCTACCAAGCAAATCCAATTGTTTTAATAACTGTATTAATAACTGAACTCAGCCCACAACCTTGGATATTTGGAAAACATGAATACTGAAATGCAGAAGTGTGTAATACTGATCACAAATGTTTCTTTACAGTAAAATGTTAAGTGAATCTTTTGCTATAAATTAGTTCCACTGTGGCTCAATGATATAGGATAAGGGCAAGAATGGGCCAAGGAGCAGGAAATGAAGATATACTACAGATATTCCAGAGCCACACATAATCAAAAGCACATTCCGCCATGTAGGGTTTATGTTTTGCCGTAGAGAAGAATTTTCTAAGCTCCTTAATAGGCATGTCTAAGTAATGACATGTTAATCTGCTACCAGCTTTATTTGTCTTTTTCTTTTTTCTTATTTACTAATTTATTTACTAATTTATTTAATTTCTGCTACCAGCTTTAAAAGAATGAATTACAAGGGTAGAGGCTGGAATAGGTGATAAGTAATTCACCTGTTTAATATCCACTCCAACTAACTGGGTTAATTTGGCCTCTAAACCTAATATTTAGATTTTAATAAAAATTTCTTTTTTTCTAAGTCATTCCAAATTATGAAATATTAATTAACTATTCATAGATTGCCCAAAGCAACATTTATCTGTTTCAGAAAGTATTTATTGTGACTTGATTGGAGGAATGATATGATCTTTTTCTCTTCGGTAGATCCCTCTTATAATCATTAAGATATGCCTGCTATAAATGCGGGGGGGGGGCAATCCATATACACAATCAGCAGCTGCCAATTCTTAGGCAATCTTTTTTAACTTGAGAGGGCATCTATAATTGAAGCTCATCTGCACAAGCACGAGTTTCATCTTCATCATAAATGTAAAGTACACTGGCTTACATCTTATCAGGTCCTGATTACATCAATCAAGCCTAAGTGGCTACAATACAGTGTCCATTCAACAAATGCCATGAGTGAATAAATATTCTAGGAAAGGGCCTTCCTGGAATTGGAGTTAACCTTTACCTAGAGAAGGGGCAGCATTTAAGGCGGGTAGGGGGAGTTAGTGAATTTTACTCTTAGAAATAACAGGAAATCAGAGTGCTCCAAAAGGATATACACGAAAAGGATTCAGATACAAAAACTACATCAGGGATCACAATAGTATATACTTCATAACATTCTTAAACTTGGTAGTATTTTTTTGGTTATATTAACGACTTACACTAAAAAGGGTCCAGGTGTATGTCCACAGGGGCAGCAAGAGAAATACTTCACAGTGCTACTGGAAAGAAACCTATTGGAACCCTAGAAATAAGGGTGAGCAATGCCAGCTATAAACAAAAAAAGATAACAAAATAGGGTAAAGATTGTCTTTTCACCTTTATATTAAAACAGCATGGCACATAGTAGCTGCTCACAAAATGTCTGTTCAGTGAATGATTCCTTCCTACTTTCTTCCATTTTTTCCTCCCTTCTTTCCTCCCTTCCATCCAGCCCTTCATTATTCCCCAATTATCCAACATCCAATCCAATTCCTCCCTCCTCTCCTCCTTAGGGCCTGCAAAGTCTAAAGGATCAAGAGGTTCCCTGGCAAGGGTCTTAAAAACTTTTCAGTTTGCCCTCTTGAAATATATTAACATATAATTTTAGTTCTAGGCACTGAAAATAAAGTCAACTCTGGCCTTACTTCCTATGAATAGAAAAAAGTCCACAGAGAATCCATGGATATTGTCAGCTGAGGAAGGCCTAATTGTTTCCTTCCAGGGTGGAAAGTTCACACTTTGCAGCCAAACAATTAGCAGTCTTACCCTGAGGATACCAGAAATGGGTAAAATTTACTTTTCTTTAAAAATTCACATCAGCCCCTTGTCCCTAAATCCATATTTGAAAACCAGTTCCCACCTCTCCCAAAGTAGCCACAACAAACACTTCGCTCCCCCAGTCTTCGGTCTCATACCCCAAAACGAAAGCACCTTGACTGGATTCAGTGTCAGTCTCTTACCCTGCCAGGAAAGCTAAGGAGTAGGAGTTGTTCTTGGAAACAAATGCTGAGCGATGTGTCTGTGTCATCTTGCCTCGGGAAGGTTCTTCATTCTCTGAATCTGAGAGGCGCGCAGGACACTGGCAGGAGATAAGCGAGACAACACTGTCCATTTGGGGTTCCCATTGAATCTCCCATGGCTATTGTTTCAAATCTCTACTACATGTCACTTCTATCTGAGCTCCAATCTGCTTCCAACTGCCTCCTTGAGATCCCAATCTGATATCCCAAATGTAGCTCAAACTTAATATATCCCAAATCAAACTGTTTATCTTCTCTAAGCCACACTACCAACCCAGCTAGAAGCCTCATTGTCATCTATGACTCTTTCCCTTTCTTCGAAGCCATAACAACATTGTATAGAGGTTTTGAGTAGCCCAACACACCTAAATATTTTATTTCGTTTACTCTTCATATCCGCTCTATTAAGAAGGGATTATTACCTGTCTTTTACAGATGACAAACTGAGGCTCAGAGTAGTTAATCTGCCTAGGATTGTAGAGTTAATACGTAGCTAACGCTGGTACTTAAATCCCGAACATCTGTCTCCCAACTGCCTCCATGTTATTTCCACTCTACTCCATTCTGCTGTCTCTCAGATGTATACTCACTGCCTTTCCTTAGATTCTCATCATCTTCTGCCTGGACTATTGCAATAATCTACTTACTGGTCTCTCTCTCTTCAGCCTTTCTTCTCTCTCATCCCCGCCATACTATCAAGCACACACAGAATCCTGCTTAACTATTTGACTTCAGGATCAAGTCTAAACACTGCACCATAATACAGTAATCTTCAAAACTAGACTCAATCTTCTTTCATAGCTTTTCTCACACCAGTTCCCACACAGGGAACTCCTTGAGCTCTAGTACAACCAAACTACTTTCTACTCTCCACAGCTACCATCACAGTCTTTCAAACCCTCTATTCTTTTGGACATGCTATTTCCTTTGCCTAATATTCCCCCTCCACATTCTCGGCCTATGTAATACTCATTGGCCCTTCGGAGGCATCTTAAATGTCACTTTCTCTGCAAAAGCTTCCACATAACCCTAGAGACAGCTGTTTCCCTCTTGTTGATACTCATCCATTTACCTTTATTTTATTTTAGACTCTCTGTTAGAGCCTTTCAATTTACATTTGAAGTTTTTTAACATGTGCCTTTGCATACAATATATAGTGACGATTTGCTTCATGATTCAATATTAGAGTCTTTTTAGAGGGAGCAACTAGTCACACTGAACTGTAGCTTCTTATTTAAGAGTCTGTCTTCTGCTTTAGACAGTCAACTCTGTGAGAGCAAGTGACCTTCTTTAAGACTCCCAATACCATTATAGAGCAGGTAAACAAAAAATGTCTAATCATTTAAGGATTAACCAGTTATCTAATATAATCAAATGACTATCAAAGTGAAAGTTGTAGACAGGCATGCAAGGCATCATCTCATGGCTTAGAGTACACTGCATTCCTGAAATGCCTTGTTATTCTCTAGGCTGATAGGCACACATATACAATAGGCTGTTTCCTAACAGTTAGCCTTTGAGAAACAGTTGAAGGATTATAATTTACAGAGGAGCTTTTCCATTTTGCAGGGTATCACTCCTTAAAGAACCCTGCTGTACAAACTACTCACTCGAAAAACTTTTTAATAGTACTAACCCATTATCAAATTTGATGATATTCTCTTCTCAACTCTGGGAAAAAAGAAAAAGGTCTGATATCAATAGATTCAATGGAATAAATAATGGCAATTTGTATTTAGGTCTTTCTACATAATCAAGTCAGTACCAAATAAAAGAATATTCAAATCCCAACTCCATTACTTAGCTATCATGGTCACTGCAGGTTAGTTGCTTAACTTTCTGAGCCTCAGTTTCCTCATCTATAAAATAAAGACTGTTCCATCTACCATATAGATTGTGATAAACCATTAGAAGCACCTAGTACATTAACAAGTAGCAAGTACTCACCAAAAGATTTTATTTTTATCAATTTAAATACTAATAATCTTTTAAGAAAAAACTTTAGTATTATAATATATATACTGGGTTCCTTTTAATTGTTGAAAAATAAATTTATTATTATAAATAATTATCTAGATAGAAGGTACTCCCCATCCTTCTATATTTCCACCTCCCAAAACCTAGAACCATTAATATAGGAAAACATTTACCTCTTATCTTGCCCTTTGGATAAAAATAAGCCCACAGCACTATGGATTCCTAAAATGGTATAAAATTTGCATAATATAATCCCCAAAGTGATACTTTAAAAAATGTTGTACCTAAAAAATTAAAAGAATGATAATACCCAGAGTTGGCAAGAGTATGAGGAAATTAGTACTTGTACTATATTGTTGGGAATATAACTATATACAAACTTTCTGGAGGGCAAATGAGTAATAAGTATACTCAAGTCTTGAAAAGGACACTCCCTTTGACCTGGTCATTCCACTTCTGGTAATTTATTCTAAGGAACTAATGAGAAAAGTTGATCTCATCACAGTGGTGGTTTAGATAGCAAAGTATCAATAGGAGATTAATTAAGTAAACAGAATAAATTCCACAGTAAAGAATACTAAGAGACCATTAAGTAATGATGTGGGATTCTTTATTTACATGGAAAGACATCCACAATTTAATAGTTTATTTAAAAAGTTATAAAACAGTATGTGCATTGGGTTGCATTTTCTAAAAAAAAAAATATATATATATATATACAGTATATATGTGTGTGTGTGTGTGTGTGTGTGTGTGTGTGTGTGTGTGTATCTATATAGATACACACGTGTACTTAGAAAAGTCTGGCAGAATATTTACTAAAATGTTTATAGGGGTTATCTCTAGGTTTTGGGATGACAAGCAATTTTTCACTTTTTTTTTTTGTAATCCTTGATATGATTGCAATTATTATACCAGATTGTCTTCCAACAATTTACATTATTATTGATATTAATTATACCATAATAAATCATAAGAAATTAAACATTTCCCATTTTATTTTTATTCTGAACAAGTAACAAATGATAACCTCTGATTCTGGAATAAGCACTTCCCTTCCTCCATTTGAATTCAACTTGATAAACATGTATCAAACACTTGTGTTATGCAAGGTACTACAGGAGATTTAAAAATAGATAAGACGGTCCCTATACTCAAAAAACTTACAAATCTAGTAGAGAAACACAAACACACAACGGTAAAGTAAGGGAGAATGAAATAAGTTCTGTAAAAGTTACAAAGTACAGGGAGGGAAGTTGGGAGGGGAGAGTGGGTGATGGGAGAGGAAAAACAAGGGAGGGATCTCTGTAGGATCCAGGAAGGTGACAGCTTTTGAACTGGACATGGAAAAACGAAATAGCCTTTCAACAGGTAAACTGGGTGACATTTCACTGAGATGAAGATGAGAGAGCAAAGGCTTTAAGGAGGGAAAGTACAGAGTACATATTTGGGGGAAAGCAAACATCTCCATTCCCTCGAGTTGTGGGATATAAGGATGGAAATAGAAGCTAGAATAATACTAAGGACCTGAATGCTGGCGTGAAGAGTTCTTTTAATTCCACAGGAAACGGAGTCACTGAGGTTTGGGGGGCAGGAGAGGGAAATCATCAGTCCAGCTCTAATCATAACACTATGTAAAATATAACCCTTCAGCTGGCTTTCCCCTCAAGTCTACTTGATTCTCTTTGGTCTCAATTTAAATGCAGCCTTGGCTAAACTAAACAAAATTATCTGTTTAACACCAAAAACTCTTAAGACATTTAAAGCAAAATTATAACTATTTAAAAGTCCTCAGAAATAGAAAAGCAAACAGAAAATGGGTAAAAATCACAAAAATCTAAAACTTGAAGTGTTCATAGATCAGATTTTATTCAATGCATTTTTGCATTAAAAAATCTGCATAACTGGCTATTAGCAATAAAAACAATTTATTTTTAATAATTAACTGATAAAAATTATAACTGGAGTTAAAAAGCCCCACATGCCTGTTGACAATCAGCAAATACTATCAATCCAAGAAAACTGAAATAATTTAAATTTTTGAAATTCAGGAAAAATGCCTTTGCAAAGAGTAAATCAAAAGCACAGATAACATAAGTAACCTGGCCAAAGTTATTTCATGTTGGGACCTGTTTAAGAGGCAGACTTCTGATCCAGAGATTTTTTTTGTCTCTATTTTGTTATATTTTCTGTGTTTCTATACAGTAAAGCTTTATTAATTCTGGCTAATTGGAAATATAACAAGGCTGAATCACAAAATATTTTAAAAGATATGACTCTAAAAGATATGTTAAGTACCTTCAGCAAGCAATAAAAGACGTACAATCCAATATGACTTAGTAAAGAAAAAAAACTCAAATCATAATAACCCATCTGAGCTACTCAGTGGACCCTCCAAAAGTGCTTTCTTATGTAAGCTAAATATACCACTTACAACCTTTTCCAGTAATTTGCTTGGTAAATAAGTAATGAAAAAAAAAATCAGACAAGATAAAGCACAATTAGAAGTATAATTTGGTTAAGTTTAAACTAAGTATCTAATCTAATATAATCTAATATCTTGTATCTAGCACGCTGCTGCTTAGGGCATTATAAAGAAAAAAGGGAAGTAAAAGTCAAGCTTTCAGGAACCCTAGTAGAGGATATAAGACATACAAAGCTCAAATGTCAAACGACAACACATAAGTCAAAATGACTATGCATATAAAACTTACCACAAGTATTATAGTATACTATACTAGGTTTTTCCTCTAATCCTTTTCCCCACTGTTCCCTAAATATTTCCACACAAGTCTCACTGTCCCATTCATAAATTATTTTCTCCAGCTCCCATCTGGACGCTAAGTTCCTCACTACTCTTAAGCTACATAGTCAATGACTGTTAATGGTCTCATATCATAGTTCACCAAAATTAGGTTTTGCAGATCCATGTCACCTGGGCTAATTGCTGATTTTGAGGCAGATGTCCATCAAAAAGGTGATGTACTTACACGCTCCAGATTTGTTTTCAGTCCTAGTGGCTCATCTCTTTTTTTCTGTTCATCCATTTTCCTTTTCCCTGTTTCTGTATCCTCTGGTAAGAGCTTGTGGATTTGATCTTCAGAGGTTTTCTCGTCTTGTAACTTTTCTTCTCTCAGCTGAAATTACAAATCATACCAAGATAGAGTTTTAGGCAACTATCGACTTAAAAATATCTTTTACTCAGTAGTCGATTAGAACAAACAGATCACATGACAGTTTTGAGACTATTTTCCTTATTAGATATAAAGTTCTCTTAATTTTTATTGTAATGTCTGCTTTTACTTGACTCTTGCCAAACGTACCCTTCATGGCTTAAGATTTAACTTAATTCTTGCTCTGAATTCTTGAGTAATATGAACCCATAAAAACTAAGATAATACACACAATAAAAAAATAAGGTTTATTCATTTAGCCAAAAAAGGCTGAACCTAAAAACTTTCTTATGCCTATAAACCAGACACAAATGTATTGGATGAGGAGAACAGCAGAGATGTAGGCCACCGGGCCAGAGAAGCTGGGCAAGACAGGTCTGTAGGCCTAGCAGCAACAGGAAAAATGACTGATCACATTCCAAAGTCCTATAATCTATGCTATTATCTTGTGGTTCAGAGAATAGGTCAAAATACATGACCGGGCCGGCCGAGTGGCGCATTGGTTAGGAGTTGGCTTGAGATGCCAGCTCTGAGCAGCAGGGCCCCGGTTTGGATCCCACATGGGCCAGTGATTCTGCGCCCTCTACAGCTAAGATTGTGAACAACAGCTCAACCTGGAGCTGGGCTACCGTGAGTCACCGACGACGGCGTAGGCTACAGCCCCTGCTGCAGTGGGCTGCCATAGGCTACTATGAGTGGCCGGCAGCCAGCGTGAGCGGCCAGCAGCCGGCATGAGCTGCCAAGAGCCACTGTGAGCAGCCGTTCCAATGGCTGGTGAGCGACTGCCTCAGCTAGGAAGAGCGCAATGATAATACCAACATTAGCCAATGAAGCGACATCCTCCACAACTAGACTGAAGAATAAAAGGACAGCAACTTGTCTGTTCCCCTTCCCTGAGTCCCCAATGCTGTTCCCCTCCTCCAATTCCCTAATAAAATCTTAAAAAAAAAAACAACAACACATGACCTACAAAGAAATTTCAGGCAGAGGCATATGCTCATTTGGGGAAGGTAGCATAGCATTATAAAAATGAGATAGGTTTTGGAATAAAAACCTGGGTTCTAGTGGTTCTGTCACTTATTTACCAACTATGGGATCTTTGGCAAATAAACCATCATATGCTCACCTAAAAACAGGGATAATGCTACTTACTTTGCAGATATTGTTGTAAGAAGTAAAGGAGATAATAAAGTACTTAATGTAGTATCTTGCTGGTACTTACAATACATCAAGAGTTCCCTTTCCTAATCTCCTTTTATTCTCTTTTCATTGCCCAGGGTTTTAATAAAATTTAAATGACATAATATGTATCAAAGCAATTATAGGCTACTACTATTTTTAATCATACTTGCAAAAAAATAAAGCTAAAGAATAAATACTTTCATTGGCTGTTGCCTCTGGGTTAAAAAAAAAAAACAATAAGATTTAGTCTTACCTTTCCAATTTCTACAGGTCTGATTCCTGTAAGCCTGAACTAGTCTTGAACACATTAAGTTTAATTCAAGAGGTTATGAATATTTAAGAGCACCATACATAATGTAACATCAGGAGCAGATTCAAATGAAATAAGGTACTCCTAACTCTGCCCAAGTCAAACAAGAACATGAGAGGAAGAAGAGCAAATCCATAGCCAGGGAGAAAGCAAACCTGAAGTATATGCTACCTGCCCACATGAAAGATTAATGCCTTTTAATGACATTACTGAGAAATTCTTGTTTGACAACTGGACCACAGGCTACACAGAGAGGGGCATTTCACTTTTAGAGGACAGAGAGGCAGAGTGCCACAAAAGAGAACAGGCTTTAGCATCGTAATAATTGTTATAATTTACTGAACTCTTTGTGTCAGGTTCAGAGTTAAGCACTATGAGTACATACATTATCTCACTTACTAAAACTAAGGTTAAGAGGTAATGTGCTCAAATTCACAGTCATAGCCCTAGAGCTGGAATTCAAATTAAGGTTTATCTCAGTTCGACTACTGATTTTGCCTCTCAGGGTGCATTTGGCAATGTCTGGAGACACTTGGTTGTCACAGCTTAGGGGTGGGGTGTGTGTGTTCTAGCCTCTAGTGGCTAGAGGCCAGGGATTGCTACTAAACATCCTAAATGCATAAGATAGCGCCCAACAATGTATACATACACCAACTTAGCTATTTAAAAGAAAACGAAATATTAAATTTCCTGTTATATATATTTTAGCGTTAATTTGTTTAGTGCTTAATGTTATTTACATACTATGCCCTCTGGCTTTTCTGCTAAGTGTTTTACAATGTATCCTAATAATGTTTATTGCTGTTCTCAAAAGTTTTAACAATAGGCTTGTGTTACTGGCAAAACCACCTTTGTATTGCAGTGCCTAGTCTCTGCTAACACAGCATCATCTTAACAGAGCTAAAAGTTTACACAATTGAAAAACCTATGTATCCATTTAAATCTTCATATGACTCATGTTGCTGTTTTCTCTATACTTGATTCTGCAGAAGTTATTTTTTTGTGATTATTTATAAGGACTCGAGAACTTGGTCTCTAGGAAAGAATTTTTATACTCAGGGGAAATGCCTCTGAGAACCTCAGAAAGTAGCATATAAATTTGAATAAGAAATAGCAATAGCTGCTATTAAACTCTTCTATGTTCCAGGCATTAAGTTTATAGAGCTTACCTCATTTAACTCTTAAGGGCTCTGTTTGTATCTATCATTATCATCTTATAGACACAAAAATCAACACTCAGTGGTTATTTCCCAAAGTCACAATGATTGAATATTGAAGAGCTTGAATTTTAAAACAAGCCATTGGCTTCAGGTACCAGGATTACTCAACCTCAGCACTACTGACATTTTGGGCTAGATGGGGTGCTGAGCAGAGTCTGATGAGAAGGCTTATGCATGAATACTTTATAGGGGAGCAGGAGTTAAGAATGGAGTAGCATAACAAGAAAAGACAGAGAGCCAATGAATGGGGTGTGACAGTTGGCCCAATCATTGGCTACAGAGGACAAAAATGAGAAACCCTATGAAATGCATCTCAAGACTGTCAGTGACGTGAGAAAAAGGGAAACATATATCTATTGACTCCCACCTCCCACTGACCAAAGCTTGTTCCACAGGTGTTAAATACCCCTCACACTGGTTTGTACAACTTGAGTAAGTTCCCATGGTAGGCACTGCAGCAGCGACAACAGAGAAGCCTTAGAGCTAAAGGCAAGAGGCAAGCAGTAGAAGCCTAAACAGCATCGTCTCAGGTTTTAACAAAGTGAAGCTGCCATTACTGTAAGTGCAATGATTTTATTACTTCCCTTTCAGATACTAATTACTAAACTATTGACTTCTATAATCTCATACTCAGTCACACTACAAAGAATACCATGCAATTTTTTCCTAAAAATATCTTTATTTTGCCCTAATTTTTAAAAATCAAAGTGTTATACACAGAAAGTGTACAAATCATAAATGTAAAGCATGATAAATTACACAAAATTAGCATATCCACATAACCACCACCCAGATCAAGAAACAGAATGTTATCGGTACCCCTTGTGCCTACTTCTCACCCAAAAGTAACCAACACTAACAAATAATTTTACTATTTCTGAATTTTACATAAGTGGAATCTTATATGTGTATTAAATCTCTCTTCAGTCACCATTCTATTTGTGAGATTCATCCACATAGGTACATATAGTTTGTTCTTATTGTTTTATAGTATTCCACTGTTTGACTACAAAACAATTCAACCATTCTACTGCTAATGGATATTTGAGTAGTTACTAATTTTTGGCTATTTACACATAAACTGCTATGAACAGTTTTCAATATATATCCTGATACACATGCTGTTCTGTGGGGTATATTCTAGAAAAGGAACTATTTAGTCGTAAGGTATGGGTATGCTGCCACAGTTTTTCCAAACTGGTTGTACAAATTACACTCCCATCCCCCAATGTAGCAGGATTACGGTTGTTTTCAGGCTTGTTAACACTCAATATTATTTGTCTATTTCAGACATTCCAGTGAGTCTATATTGGTACTGCATTATGACTTGAATTTGCATTGCTCTTCTGACTAAAGATGTAGAGCAGCTTTTCATATGTTTACTATTTGGAAATCCTCTTTTATGAAGTGCTTATTCACACAGTTCCCCTTTTTTCTTTTAGATATTTGGGCTCTCTCCCTAGTAGTTTGTATGAATTATTTATATTTTTTTGGATATAAGGCAATTTTCAAGAAAAAAAAATACATACATATACATCCAGTAGTCCCCCTTATCTGCAGTTTTGCTTGATGCAGTTTCAGTTACCCACAGTCAACCATGGTCTAAAATAGTACATGGAAAATTCCAGAAATAAACAATTCGTAAGTTTTAAATTTTGTGTGGTTCTGAGTAGCATGATGAAATCTTGCACTGTCCTGCTCTGTCCCACCAAAGGGACACGAATCATCCTTCTGTCCAGCAAATCCACCTTGTATATGCTCCCCACCTGTTAGTCACTTAGTAACCATATCACATATGATAAAATAAACACATACGGAATATATAGCTCAATGAGTTTTGACAAATGTATATATCTATGTAACCATCTCCCTAATCAAGATATAGGACATTTTACCACTCAAGAAAGTCCCTTCAAGCCCACTAGCAATCAATCTCCCACCCGCCTCGGCCCTATGCAACCCCTAATCTGATAACTATGACTACAGGTTAGTTTTGCCTATTATAAAATCATACAGTGATACTCCTTTGTGTCAGTCTTCATTTACTCAACATATTTTTGAGATTCATCCATGCTATTGAGTTTATTATTAAAACATTCCTTTCTTGGATGATTTATATTCCATCATATGAATATACCACAATTTGTACACCATTCAAGTGTTGGACATTTGGGTTGTATTTAGTTGTGGGCTATTATGAACATTCTGCTATGAACATTCATGTGTTTTTGTGGACAGATGTTTTTATTTTG